GGCGGCGGGCACCGGTCGCTCTTCTGCTGCTGCTGGGAGCTGTGAGAATGAAGAGGGTACTCATAATCCTTTGCAAAGAGAAGAAAAGCAAGTCAGGTTCGCTGTAAGGTGAGTTATGGAACATCCTACCGGAGCCTTTCAAGTTTATCCATGGTGGAGCTCTGGGCTGTTAAATTAGAGACCGTTTCTAAACCATGGGACATTCTGGTGAGATCTGTGAGTGATGCCAGCTTCGTCCCAGAGAAAATGAGCCCATTTGCAGCAGAAAGAAGCTGAGCTGCTCACTGCTCACTGACAGGATAAGAGAAGTGTAAAGTGCATTAACAGGCACAGGAACATTTATGAGGCACGATTCAGATTTTTTTCACACTGGGGCTGTTGTAGCAAAAAGCCAAATCCCTGCAGCAGAGGTGAATCACCCCAGCCCACTCCTTTCTCACCTGTGGCTCAACCACTCCCTCACCCCTGGGCTGCACAAAGTGCTCAGGGCACTCAGGTCTCAGATTTATTAACAACCATTTATAAACTCTCATAAAATCAAAAGTGGATTCTGGATTTGCACTTTTAAAAGAGATCAGCATCAAGCCAGGGGTGTGAAGTGAGCACTGCCGTGGCTTCATGAGCAGGATGGTAAAGTCATAAATACATAAAATGTGTGTAAAGATACACTAGGCCAAATCACTGGTGTGTTACAAAATCAGTGATGAGAAACTGGGGTTGTTATTCCAAGAATAAACGTGGTGTAACAATCCCCCAGGGGTTTCTAGGAAATTTCACCAGCAGACCATGGAGAATTTGAGGTGAGAAATTAACATCCCTCTCTGCATCCTGCTCCATCCTTATTTCTCTAACCCCCAATGGCTTCTCTGTCCTTTGACAACAGCCTGTTCCCACATGGATTCTCCCAAAAACTGGCCAAGGAGAGGCCATTGCAGGAGATGGAATGTCAGACAGACAGAGAATTCCTGATGTTTTCACTATTGACAGTCTCCTGCCCTGTTCCCAATATCAACAAACAAATTTCTTCTGCTTTTTCCTTTGAAACCCTTCTGTGACATTGTTTCCCCATTAACTGAAGGCTGTTTAAACCACTGAGAAGGTTTGGAAAACCCAATTTTGATGATGTTTTCCATGCTGAAGGTGCAAACTCTTCTATTTGTCCATTCCTCAAAAGCTGCAAACACTCCAAACCTGAAACATGTTTTAAAATCAAAGATATTGAAAATACACTTTTCTTGGGTTTGTTTTTTTTTTTGGGTTGCTGGATTTTAAACAGATAAAATTTTCATACCAAGCATAATTTTGGGATATAAGGGAGCAGTGAGCAATAAATCTGTGCAGTTCCAAACACAGAACAGGTCTCCTTGTTGGAGGGAGTGCTCATCCTGGAAGGTCACAGTTTACCATTCTATTTGAAAGGTCATCTGCAGACGGAAATGGGACCAAAATAATACTGGCACATAATGGACGCATGAAAAAAACCACCAAACAATTACAGCAGTTGCTTCACAGATGATTCAGAACCCAAGAAGCCAAAATTGCAATGAACAGCTGGCTCCATGAATGAAATTTCCGTTGGGGAACAATATAACAGTTGTGGCCAAATAACTTTGTACCTCATGACCTCCCTGCCCATTTTTCTCTGGTCACCTAGTGCTCATAACTCATTGCTTTCAAAATATGAATATTTTACTTATTTTGTTTAATAAACCTCCTTGTTTATGTGTAAACAGGATTCCCTCATTCCCCAAAATGACTTGGTTAAGGACATCTCCAGGTTTGGGTTATAAGGTTTTTTAAAAGCTCTCCCAACATTCACAATTTGGCTCTGATTTATAATTTTTGCAGATTGTGATGACAGTCAAAATTTCTTTAAAATAACTTTTCAGTGCAGGAGGTAAATTTCTGTTTCCCAGGGAGAGTTATTAAATATTTTAATGACAATATCTGCCTTAGAGATAGAAACAAAGGGGGAAAGTGCAGAGTTCAGCTGAGGAACCCTGGAAGTCAACAAAGATGAGGAAGAACGTGGATGGGAACACTCAGTCTCAGCCATAATTTCAATAGGGATGCAGTCTGCCTCCCGAAAATCCCAGTTCTGTTCTGTTATTTGTGTCTGGAACTGGTCCCTGAGCTTGTGTCAGAGCACAGCTCTGCTGATTCACATTCTGCATGGAGCCCCTCCAGGTGGCACATGAGGTTTATTTCAGCCTCACACCACCAGCTCTGGTCCTGGCAGGTGTTCCTAAACACTGGCCATAAAACAAAAAAATGAAAAAAACCCAACACAGTCAAAGGGAATATTGAATCCTCCAATATTTCCATTAAAGACCTGGGAAATCACCCATCAGTGATGATCAAAGTGGCAAACATCAGCCTGAAAGCAGCTTAATGTGAAGGACAAGACCAAAGCAATGGCAATAATTTTCTCCTGTTGTCAGCTCAGGATTTGTCATTTTGGATCTGCTGTTTGCAGCTGGAAGAACCCTGCAGAACTGGGGTGTGCTCCAAAAGATGCACAATAATGAGTAAAAGGCTGGAAAGCGGGAAATACAGAAAAAGGTTTGTGTGTGTGTGTGTGTGTGTGTGCAGGTTCCAAAGGGGAGCTGAGGCTGCCCTACTCACAGGTTGCTCTGAGGATTTGGGGGCCAGAACACAAGGAGGGTACCCCAGGGCTGATTTATGACAGCTGGCTGCTGCAGGGTAAATAAATTGCTGGAAGAGCATTACAGCAGCTGTGAGGAATTCTTCATTTCTGGAAGACTTTAGAAGAAGGCTGGGATTTTTCTCCAACACTTGCTGTAGTTGTCAGTGGAATGAAATCCAGACTGGCCCAGTTTCTCCCAGCAGACATGATGGGTGTTTTATGATGAACTGAGTCCACTCCCAGGTATCTCCCTCCCTCTGCCCCTTGGGAACAGTCCCTGCAGCGTGGGGGCTGCAGAACACCAGCTGCAAATCACTAAATCTGAAAAATGTCCCCCTGTAAAACACATGGATTTGTTTTAAAGCCCAGCTCCTGCATCCCATTGTGGCCACCAGGTTTTTCTCCTCACTGCCATCCCTCTTTCTCCCTTCTCCAGCCCCACTTGACCCCTCCTTGCCAGGCAACAGCCTTCCTCTCACCCAGTGTGAATGAAACCCCAGCCAGCTCCTCATCCTCACTCCTCCCTGCCATTCTGTACCCAGCATTTTTCTGGACACACTCCTCCTGCTGCTGCCTCAGATTTTCTGGCTCAGACCACACAGATCTGTGTCCTTTGGGGTCCCACAGGGGTGGGACAGGTCCCACAGCTCCTGTGGCCCATGTCCCACATGGCTGCATGTCCATGATCACCTCCATCTGCCATACCTCCATCCAAATGACTCACAAATCAGCTCCTCTGCCCCCAGACTCTGATTTTTCCAACCACAGGGAACACACAGCATTTGGTAGGAGAGAAAACATCCCCATGAGAAAGCAGAGGGGCTGCCAGAACTGCAGGAGAGGATGCAGAGCAGACGCTTTCCCCCCTGACAAGGCTCGGAGGAGGAGAAAGAAAAGCATTTTCTGTTTTCCCTGGATCAATGTTTCTGTCAATATGAGCAATTTCTAGCTGAGCTTGCCAGATCAGTAGCACCTGGATTCAGGGCTGCCAGGAAAAACAGCCCTTTGAAGAAGTGCAGGTTGAAAGAAGAGGATATATCCCCAGGGTAGCTGGCTCCTTATCTGAAAATCAACATGTAAATTCCTCTTCTGCTCCTGTCCTATCACTCTGGGTCATTCACCTCATGGTTCCTATTCAATTTGAGCTTCACTTTGAAATATGGCAGAAGAACACCCAAATAAATGCACTTTCCAGTGATTTTGCAGGAAATTCAGCTCTTTATGTCACCATTTTTGAATTAAAGTGCAAACCAGAGGAAACCCTGGCCCAGGAGAGGCTATAATGAAGATTTTTTTACAAAATCCTGAAGTGCCTTTCAAACATCAGCACAATTTTTTCTAAAAACTTTCCAGGAGACGGAATTTCAGTTTTCTCATTGGGGGCAAGGGATGTGTGTCACAATTCTGAGTCAGCAATTGCACAAACCAAATGTTGCCATGCACAAACATCACCCTAAAAGTCATGGGCAGAAAAACATCCTTTTGGAATTAAAACCTGCAGAAAACATAGAGGGATCTGCCTGTGACACTGAGGTGCTGTTTATACACATGCAGTGGTTGGAAGATGCAGTCAGACCTGAGCATAAGAAAATAAAGTGTTTGGGGCTTGCACCCAAGCAGTTCAAGGGGCAGTGCTGGTTTCTAAGGGAACTTGAAAGGATCAAGCAAAAATTTCAAATTTAAATCTTTTTTTCAAACAGCAGGACCAAAAACTTAAGCTATCAAATTATTTTCCTTTTTTTTTTTCAATTCCAGTTTCCTCTGTGACAATTGTTTGGCCCAGACACACCAGGGCAAGACCCAGCATCACTCCCTGCACTCGCTGCTGTTCCATTCCCAGCTCCAGCACCCCTGCTTAACCAGAGTGAAGGTTCCTAAAGGTTTTCTAGCAGTACCTGTGCTTAGGGCAGCTCTCTCCAGAGCGGGTTTGGGGGTGTTGGCTGTGCCCAGTGCCCTGTGGAGCCTGCAGGCTGCCAGGGGCAGGCACAGATGGTGGCACCCAGGGCGTGGGCAGCAGCTCTGCTTGCCACAGGGATGGATTTCTGGCATCGCCACCCGTTACAGGGTGATGGGCTGAGCGCTGCTCTGGCACTGCGGGGCTGAGCTCTCTGTGCCCCAGGGATGTACAGAGCCGTGGGCAATGCCCCCATCCCACATTTACCCAAGTTACCCCAAAAGGCAGCACAGGAGCTGGGCAGGGAACCCTCCCTGCTCCAAGCAATAAATCCCATTATTTTCCCCGCAATAAATCCCATTATTTTCCCCGCACTAAACCACTCCCCAGAGCTCAGGGTTTGCATCCCCCTTCTCCCCGGCCCCTTTCCCCCCTGTCCCGGGGGTTTTCCAGGGAAAGCGGTGCCGATGCCATCCCAAAGCTCCCCAAGCTTCCCCCTGCAGCAGCTAGGTGGCAAAAGTCCCGCACAGCCTGGGAAAACTTCACGGATGGCTGTGACACCGAGCCAGCCCGCCGATCCAACACTCCTTTATCCCAAAGCACGCCAGGATAACTCCCCCTTTTCTCGGCCAGCATCCCCCGAGCCCCCCAGCCCCACTCACATCGTATTTCTCCGTCATTTTCAGCAGAGCGCGTTTCCACAGGCTCCTGGCACTGCCCGGCTCCGGCAGCACCACCAGCACACACAGCGCTGCAGCCAGGAGCTTCTTACAGAAAAGGGTTTTTTGTATCTCTGGAAGAAGCCTGGAACTCATATTTTATTTTATTTTATTTTATTTTGTTCCAGGGAGAGATGGAAAAAGGAGCCCCGGAGATGTCGGGGTTTGCAAGGAGGGAAGGAGGAGAGGAGGGAGGGAAAGAGCGCTCCAAGCTTTTCCCTGCGCAGCTTCTGGGAAGGCAAAGGGGAAGGAATTAAAGAAAAAAAAAAAAAAGCAAAGAAAAAAAAAAGGCAAAAAAAGGAGCCCAGAGGCAGGAGCCGGGAGCTGCTGTTGAACTTGTTTAAGTTAGATCAGGTTCTCGGCTCACATGTTCGCACAAAGCTCACGCTCCCCTCGAGTGATGGACGGGAAGATTACTTGGAAAGATTATTTTTAGACCTTTGTTCCCAACATCTGGCATCCTCCGAGAGCCCCATTGAGAGGCGAGGCGTGGGATCAGATGACAGCTGCCGCAGGGGGAAATGAAGGTCTCGGAGGGGTGGGCTCGGCTGAGTTTTTTTGCAAACAGTTCACCCAAACTTCCCCAGAGCCTGGTGGGCTCTCCCTTTGTGTGCTTCCTGCTGGGGGTTTGCATCACGCCTTGACAAAGTGACAACTTCATCTGGAAGGAAACGATCTAACAACACGATAAACATCCAGGGGCTTTCATTAAACCAAGGTGACGTTGGTTTGCTGAAAATTATTTAGGAGGAGAAAGACCATTAGGAAAAAATAAATTGGGGTGTGGAATAGGGAAGGAAGGTGGAAATTACATGAGCACACAGAGAAAGCAAGGAAGGGGACATGAGTCAGGCTGGGCCTGACAATGAGAGGCACGGAAGGAATGGACGTGGGGTTTTGGACATCTCATGGACATCCAGGGCCTGGAGGGTGGGAATGGGCTGGTGGAGTCAGCTGAAAGTGCCCAGCATCCTGCCTGGGGTGGACACAGAGCAGGTGCACAGGAGAGCTGTAAGAACAAGGCATTCATACACATTGGTGTGTATAAATGTGTTTATCTGCATGTGTGTAGCTTTAGAGACATCAGGTGTGCTGCTCAGGGCTCACTGAGTGAAATGTGGGGCTGTTTATTTTATAATTCCCCCTGAATTTCTCCTCCAGCAGCTTGTCCAGCCTCCACCTGAGTGAAGGAAGGAACAAAACCACAAAAGTTGTCAAGACACAGACACTAAGCCCTGTTTGCCTTCACTTTACCCCAGCTGAGCATAGAGGAGCCTTGCTGGATTTATTTTATATCCACTCTAAAATGGCTCTGCAGAGGAGTGTTATACCCACTGGATACACACAAAGAAATCTTCCAATTACTCTTTATATCTGAAAGCTGTGGAAATTCACTTTGATCCATGCCCAAGTGTCAATAGCTGCACACTGGTGGAAGCCAAAGGATTTCATCTTGAAGCTTGCCAGAATATGATGATGGGAACCTGAAAAAAGAGCAAGGTGTGCCTTAAAAAGCTCAGTATTAAAGGGAATATATTTGATTTATTTAGAGTTAAGGTTCCTATAGTTTTTCTAGCAGTAATTGTGCTTTGGGCAGTTCTCTCTGTATCTCTCTATTAAAAGGTTCTTTGTAACAAAATCTGCTCAGTTGATGCTGGGGAATTTTGCTGGGAAGTAAAACTAGGGATTATTTTATGGGG